CTGTGACCTTCACAAGACCTTCACAAGTATGTCACTCACAGGTCACAGACACATTTTTATACCACATCACACTGGCCGATTTTACTTTATCTTTTTTTTAAATCGGCATTTTTTTAATAGCTCCCTTTGCTTCTTCCTGAAACAAGGTTCCCTAGGTCCGTCCAGGAGAGTGCTATCATGTTGCTGTACTTTGTCCATTCTTCATATTTACAAGTGAGTGTGGAGGATGTTCCCCTCTGCACACAGTAGAGGAGTAACGATACAGTGGTGTCACAATATGATATGTAACCTAATACTATGAGGGCGATACAATTTGTATACCGACACTGTACTTTTTTTTACAAGTTGATATTCTATTTTTTGCAGGTGAATCAAATGTCACAACCTTAAAGGGGCACTGATCTAACGCAATTCCCCGGGACTGGTTGTTGCCTTTGTTATTGTTTTTTCCCAGTGAGTACCCGGATGTATAGCAGAAATCTAGACTAGTTCGCGACCTCTGCTGCGCCATTCGTAAGCGCATTAGTCATTTTTATGGGTTGTAATAAGGGCGTATGGTCACATTGATCAACAAAATTAAATACAGTTTTCGAGATAATAAGGAAATGTAGGTATCTTTGTGAGTAGCATCGGTAATGGTGACGAAGTTTTGATAAATCACTTGCTTGGTAATTTTGCGATTTTCGTTTACACTATTTTGACTTGCAACACAAAGTAAATATTTCACCTGAGCATATGCTTTATTCTATAGTGTGTATATTTTTTTATTGTCAAATGTGTAACAAATTTATTAAACGTCTAAATATTCAGTTTACAAAGTGACTGAAAAACATTTCCATCTGTATTATTATGACAACGAATTCCAAACATTTTGATGTTTAATGTCATCACCAAGAGACTGAAAATGTTACGTTGAAAAGTACATTTCTAAGTTGTTTGGCTTTTAATCCTACATAATAACCTGTTGTGATGTTTGTAGGCCCTTTTGATCGTCTTGATCAATCTGGACAGATTTTTTTAGTCAAAATGACTGAAATATTTACACATTTTATAAATTGCCTGAGAGAATCACATTTTACAAATTGACGGTAATATATACACGCTTTTGACCTGTGACAACAACGTCTATCGCGCATTGAAGAATTTCCCAACCAAGACGTAGAGAAACAAGAACGAATCGGTTCAAATGAAGGAAAACAAAATGCAAATATCATAATTACAAACCTACCAAATTTATGTGTATAAGGTTTAGGCAGCTTCCTTGTTCGAAGAATGTATCCGTGAATATCCACACAAAGGAACAATATCCCACTCGTCTGCAGCTGTACAAAGAAACTTATTCGATGTCACGTGTCAAATATTTTAAAAGATATATATCGTTTCGGGATATTATAACCCGTGTTCGTTTTTATCAACTGATCGCTTGGATTGTTTCAGGTGTTTTACATAGGTGTCAAGTCTCAATGGTCGGCTGAGAAAGCCCACGTGACAACTATTTTCATAACGTCCACGGTTCCTAAAAATTTCATTGAGTGATAGATATCAATGATCAATCAATCAACGTATTATCAGTTAACCCTTTGAACAAAGTATGTTGTTTTTACATCGGCACTTCGCGCCATGATATGAGTGTATTCCCTTTGTTTTAGTAAACCTAGACATGTAAACACTCACTCTTGACATATCCACTGCGCAAGATAACAGTGATTAATCAATCAACGTATTTTTTTGTTAATCCTTTGATGCCTAGGAACGATCCGCTGATTTACAAAAAAAAAGTAAATCAACAGATCATTCATCTCTTGCTGGGCTGCCACGTGCATATTACATAACACACATTTCACCTCACTTCAAACCTGGATTTAGATTGAATAATTACCCCAGACACAATAAATGCCAAATGGGAACCTTTGTCAGGTAATCTAAGTGGTGCTACCACTAATTGTACCTGTAATAAATTCATTAACTGAGCATCAAGTGAATGACGACAAATACACAAGTGTAGGGTTATACGAGAAAACGTGGATGACAACAAGGGAGTAGTAATCGTATTATCGACGCAAGCCGAAATCCGAAAATGCTTTCACTGCATGGATACTGTTTTTAGTATTAAACTATAACCATCTGGGGTATTTCCAAATGACGACATCCCATGAGCTCCCTTGTTCTTTTTGTCTGTTTGTTTAGGCTGAAGAAATTAATTAACATGCGCCCCTTTGTCGAAATCTTTATAGATCCCGGTTAACCAATCAGTGTTCAAAAATGCGTAAAACAAATATTGCCTCCAGCATCCAAGTTTATTTAGCTGTCCTTGCAGACGGTAGCCCAGTCTCTGGTCACGCTCAGTTGCGTTGCGTATCATCCGGGTACTCACGGGGGAAAAACAATAACAAAGGCAACAACCAGTCCGTTAGATCAGTGCCCCTTTAAATCATTTGTTTTTGTAATTTAGGGATCAAAGACGGGAGATCGTAGGGCAGAAACATATTGGTAGAGGGCACTGTGATTGTTATGCTATTTATGTCCAGCCATGAAATACTAGAGAATCTGTGTAAACTGGTGGTTGAACAGTTTCTGTTATTATGCATGTGTTTTTAAATCAATATAACTTGTAATGTAATTTATCATATACAGGGGTTATAAATCAGTGTAGTGGATCGTGGGTCTGGTATCGTGGTACAACACTGTATCACTTTATCGTTACACCAATAACACACAGATTTCTGGACAGGCACAGACACAATGTCCCTGTTTCACACAGACCACAACGTACTACAGCCTATACATGAGAGGGACATCACACACCCATCTTCCCGAGCCAAGAGAGTTAACTGACTTTAAAAGTCCAGTTTCTACCCTTGCCGAACTTGGCTGGAATTCCTGGGCTCGATCGTAGCGCCACCAGTGGCTATTACCAGTTATGTCCCTTCTAAGCCTCTCCTATGGACCAATCAGATTCCACCTCTCGTATCACTTGCATTTGCTTCAAACAAAATGGCAGCGCCAAGTCAGGACGATCTGCTCGATAATCAAGATCTACATTGTGAAAAAACGGGTCTTACATCGCGAAATGCATCAAATCATGTGAACACCTTGATTAAAAACATGAGAAGATTTTGAAAATATCTGTTGACAACGAGTTGGCGGTGCACATGCTTTGCAAATCCTGCATTCGACCGAAATCTGCATGACAGTTTACGAACCGGATTTCGATTTCATTGCGAGATTTTGACTATGCATAGACTCGTTAGTCCAGCCAAATTGTAACTCCATAATACCAGCCTAGTTCGGCAAGGGTGGAAACTGGACTTTTATAGTCAGTTAACTCACTTGCCTCTGGAAGATGTCACACACCCTGCACAGTCCCCCCTTTGGCCACACATTTTTTATTTTTTGTTTCATGGACACGCCGCCGCTATTGAAAAGCAGCTGGGGAAAAAAATAAATTAAATATATAAATATTTATGTTTTATTATGTCTCAAAATAGAAATATAGACCCTCTTATACAATATAAAATGTTATATATAAATTCCATGTGTACATCACTATCAGTGATTCAAGAAGCCAGCTGCAGTTTTAACTCCACAGCAGAATGATTTTCATATAAATAAATAAATGATTGACATAGCTATTTATTTTTATATTTATTTCAACCGACCTTGTGTAGAAAAGCTGGAATAAATCTGTGAAACATAAAATCAAAAATGTGCCTGCCCCTCCTAAACTAGTGTATCACAATATGTTAGTAAAAGACTGCTTTCAAATGACATTATTTGACTGGTTTGCAGATAGTGAAACTTAACAAATTTATGTTTGTGCATAAAATAAGGAAATCTTTGGTCCAGCTAGAGAAAAATGAGAAAAACGGTTTAGGATCTAGGGCTCCACATTACAGCAGGTCTGGAAAAAACAAACAAACTGGCCTTGCATACTTATGAGGGGATATATTCCAAGATAAATACGGAGAAATAAAGTATAATTTGACGTCAGTCCCTTAAATAAACTTGTACAACATGAATATAACCAAACAGTAATCAAAGTGAGCCTGTATGTCCATGTGCCTCATGTATACTGGCTTCTACTTCTACCTTTATAGGCTAATCAAGCTCCATCATACATCTTGTAAGAACTCGGTCTGGCCTGGTTAATCATTTGTTCAATGGCTTCTCTCTTTGTTTCATAAATCATGTGGTTCAAATCCATCCAAACCCACAAGAAATGAATACTTCATTGCAATAATTCTGAAATATGTCATGCTTTGGGAAAGTTTCAGTGAAAAGAAAACATGATAGCTTTTATTCCACACGTCAGTGATACGGAGCAATAACATCACACCAGTGCCAGTGTATATTCTTCACGCAGTGGAACCTTGCTAAACTGGATAGTGCCAGTGTCAGTTCCTTACACAGTGGAACTTTGTAAACTTGGATAGTGCCACTATCTGTTCTTTACACAGTGGAACCTTGCTAAACTGGATAGTGCCACTGTCTGTTCTTTACACAGTGGAACCTTGCTAAACTTGATAGTGCCAGTGTCAGTTCCTTACACAGTGGAACTTTGCTAACTTGGATAGTGCCACTGTCTGTTCTTTACACAGTGGAACCTTGCAAAACTGGATAGTGCCACTGTCTGTTCTTTACACAGTGGAACCTTGCTAAACTGGACAGTTCTTTCACAGAGTACTTGACTGAATGTTCACAGTAACCTGTCATAGAGAAGCAATTGGTATATCTAATAAATCATTTGTTAAATTTATCTTTAAATTGTCATTTCCAGAAAAGCAGGGTCTTGACTTGCAAGGTTCCAGTATAACATGTCAGATGAACATTATAACATGTTCCAAGCTAACAGGAGGGCACAGGTTGCCCAGTTGTCTAAGGTGCTGCAATTTGCTGTGCAGAGTTCCGTCCCTTGGGCATGCCAGCAACCTGTAATCATGGGTTTGAATCCCGGTTCAGCCCGATTAGGTTTCTAGGTTTGTCAGCACCCTACCTGTGCTTGTGGGTTTCACCAAAGTGCATCACATCGAGTTTTCCTCCTTCATTAAGCTGACACGCCACGATATAACTGGAATACTGTTAAAAGCGGTGTTAAACCCAACTCACTCACTCACTCACTCACTCACTCACTCACTCAAACAACAGAGACTGGCAACAAGATATCATAGACTGTTTCCATGGTAACTATTTATTATGTACATGTTACAAGGAAGATGTCCATATTCAAGGAAATTCTGATTTGAAGTAAATTGGCCATCCTATGTTATAATAGATATATACACTCCAACATTTACAGCTGTAGTTGTTTTATAACATATGCATACACACCAACATTTACAGCAGAGAACTGTAGTGTTATAACATATATACCAACATTTACAGCAGACGGCTGTAGTGACCTGAGAGGAAAGGTCATAGTCTGGATATTGTTCTTAGGGAAACACTACACAACAAAAAAACTCTTTGGTCCGGTACAGACGATGTTAACCCTTTGGCCTATACACACGTATGGGGCCGACCATTTGATATTCTGGTTTCTTTGATTCTTATTTAATTATTTAATTTGATTCAGAAAATGCTGGAAAAATAATTAGCCAATGTTGTGAAAAACAAAATTTAATTAATGTTTTGACTGAAAAAAGAATGAACTCCCAACCCCCTGAATATTAAACGGCTGGCCCCTATTGTGAATCATGCAGGACAATATTTCCAGCCTGCAGTGACATGTGCTTCTTAACTGGAAGGGATATGTACAGGTGTTATTACATTCACTCAGTTCTGAGGCCGCAACACTGTTCTTGTTTCAGAAGTCTGCCACAGTGTACCATGGCAATCTAGACAAGAAGGTTCATGCAAACAGATACTGCATTGTAAGATTAGCTCCACTCACACCGGAGCATTATCATAATATTTGGGTGACTAATTCATTTAAAGTGATTCTATGTGTGAGTAGATTGATGTTTGAGTGAGTGAGTAGATTGATGATTGAGTGAGTGAGTAGATTGATAATTAAATGAGTCAGTAGATTGATGATTTAGTGAGTAGATTGATGATTTAGTGAGTAGATTGATGATTGAATGAGTCAGTAGATTGAATGAGTGACAGATTGATGATTGAATGAGTCAGTAGATTGAATGAGTCAGTAGATTGATGATTGAATGCATTAGTAGATTGATGATTGAATGAGTGAGTAGATTGATAAGTGAATGGAGGGTTAGATTCTTCTGAAGTAGCCATAGAGCTACAATTAAAGTCTCAGTAGTAGGCAAAAAGTCACCAATAGAAATAGTGTTTTCTGCTGATGTAGCAGTTTTTCTACATGATGACCAACTTCAATATGTGTATATCCCAGGACCAGGCACATCATTGATTGATGTGTTGTGAAGACTACAGAGGGGTATGATGACACATTGTTGAACACTGTACCTAGCACTGTTGTATAAATCTCATATACCATCTCACCATCTCACTTGGGAAATGGTACAAGCCTACATGCCTGTTTAAAGGTAATATGACCCAGTGGTTGGAGGTTGTTTTTTAGTCAGTATGTGTGATGTATGTCACTATGGTGTGTGTACTTAAGTGCTACACTTTGTTGACATTGCAGTAAAGTTGTAAGGATAATGTGTTATGGCGTGATATGTATCATGATATACAGTGTTTCAAGATAGCTGTTTGACTGGCATGCTAGAAGTTGGCAAATAAGAAAGAAAAACGTACAACTTTATGGATAACAACTCCTGGTTTATTGCATATAGTGATGTTTTGATGTAGATTCTTATGCCATTATCAAGCTCCTCACTCCAGCTTGATCACAGAATAAGAATCTACATCAAAAGTCGCTATGTGCATTAAACCAGAAGTTATTATCCATAAAGTGGTACGTTTCAAGATAATCCTGGGAGCATGGGTGACCAAAATTCACTCACTCAAAATAATGTTTTCAACATTTGGTGATTGTAAATATCAAGTGATTATTGAATTCTTTCAAATAAAAAACAATTGCTTTATGTCTAACAACCATTGAATGCAGCTGCAGTGCCAACCTTAAACAACTCCTGGACAAAGTAGTTTTGGAGTATAAAAGCATTCTAGAGAAAAGAGAGGTCAAATTTTGCAATTGTTGGACTTTACCCTCAAAGTGGTAAAAAGGTAAGGGTTCCCCCTAAAATACCTTGACAAATGTAGGACATGGAGTATGATAGCATCCTAGAGGGAAGATAGCTCACACAAACTCGGAACCAGTGGTTGCCGGGCACCATGAGCAAGTGAAAGATTTAATGGCTGCAGCATGATATGAAATATGTACCAGAAGAATCATACATATTGTGGATAAGGATGGATTCCTAATCCTCAAAAAAATGATTAATTGAAACTGAAATCATTCATGGCACATATACTGACATTGTCTTTGGTAAAATCTGTGGTTTATGAGCATTCTCATTAAAATCAGATTTTACTCCAAATAAATAATACTCTCCCTTGAGATCTGACAGTCCTTAGATCTCGTCCAACCCTGTTATAAAGAAAGTGTATGGTTTTGATCAGATGTGAGCTTTTGAAAATCAGTAAACCTTACTTGCACTTTCACAAATACTTGGTGTTTAGGAAATATGAAACTACAAATAATAGTACTCCTTATGCCATTTACTGAATAATGCAACTTAAGTGACTTCTGTAAATACACACCATTGCACACCATCATTCTTCTCCATTTGGAACTGCTTGTTCACACTCACTTTTGTAGATATTGTGTTATATGTTCAGAACAACGCATTTCCTTTTGGGGGGAGGGGGAGGGAAAATCTATTCAGAAAGAATATCAAATTGGAGTAAACTGTCTGATTTTAATGACATTGGGTTTATTAGAAGCTTTCCAATTCAAATTCTGTCTGGGGGGTTGATTGTCACATGAGTGACGTTTCAAACTCCTTCTTCCACTGCTTGGACACCTGGTAGATGTTGTAGCAGCCGCAGCAGAAGATGTACTTGAGTGTCTTCCTGAAGTAGGGACTGATGATGCAGTACAGAATGAAGTTCACGGAGAAGTTCAGCGACTGCAGGAAGTTCATTATGGCTTCTATAGTCATGTATGAATAATTACTGTCATTATTTGTTATTTTGGCTATCACAATCACAATCTCTGAAGGCGCCACAAGGATGAAAAACATGACGACAATGACGACAAGTGTTATTGTTAGTGTGTGGCTTGAGTTTTCGGATCCATGTCGATCTTGTTTGAATTTTTGTCTCATTTTGTATGAGCGATAGATCTTTCTGCACAAACACACATTAAAGTAGAAGAGCAGAATAAGAGGAATGAAGTTTCCGATGAAAGCCCACAATATCCGATAAGCTGTGTCAATCTTGTCGCTGCCAAGTAAGGGGACTGTTTTCGGCATGTAAATAGGATGTGATGAATTTGTGCTACATAGTAATCGAGGCTCGTACCTCCACAAAATTGGAACATTGAAGATAAAGGAAAATATGTAGGAGATCACAATGATGATTTTTATCCGCCGTGTTGTTAAATACAAATCTTGACGAAGAGGGTAACAGATTGCCAGAAAGCGTTCCAGCGACATTGCAACAGTCAGCCAGGTGCTAACCATGATAAACACATTGATCACGGCCGTCCCGTACATCCGATACTTGAGTAGAAACTCGGTATTATGATACATGTCATCCCCAGAAAGAAATGTGGTCGGAAAAGCAAAAACACAAAACATAAGATCAGACACAGCCAGTGCCACGAGGCAGTAGTTAGCTGCCATTTCAAGTGTTCGGAAAGATTTCTGAAGTTTCCGACGTGTTAGAATGGTGAGGTTGAGGACATTGCCCACCATTCCAAAAAGACACACACTGGGCAGGGCAAAGCCATATACAATATAGCTCACATCCTCAAACAACAACTTGGCCCGCTCACTTCCTAGACCGGTGTTATTGTCTTCCTCATCGGTGATGTTTAAACAAGGCCCCTGTATCCTGCAACATCAATATTTAGAATCAGTGTCTGAAAGAATGGGATCATTTCTTAAAATTACCTAAAAATTTCTTATTAAGTCATGATTCTATTCCACATGAAATATTAGCAGTATTCCTGTTACGTGAAACTAAATCATGGATCAGAGCCGGTATATATAATTCCTATATTCACCTAGCACAAGTTATTTAGAAGGATGATAATCACATTAGCATTCATTGCAATGTGTCTCACTTTGGAGACAGGATTATTCGACCATTGATAGATAGGGTTTTTTTTCCGTTAGCTATTATTGTGTAATGAAATTTATTGTGTATTGATTTCTTTCCAGCTATTTAAAGTAATAGCATTGTGTAAATGATTTTTTTACATAATTATTGTCACAGCCAGTGTCACTTCAAGAGATATGCGAGTTGAACATTAAAGGCATTTCATCAATGAATGACAATATTATTTCCATCTGGCTGAATGAATCATACCTGTGGATTTATCATGCTGACTGTGTGAATGGTCCATAAAAGGCATTATATCAGACAGACTGTTATATCATATGGATGTTAAATGTGCTGTGTATAGAGCTGATAAAATATACTTACAACATTGTGGCAGTACATTTGCTACATGTACATCACTTCAGGCTGGGAGTTGCTCATCCTAAACAAGATGCTTTGAACAATGTTGGGGGTGCGATAAGGTGTTATTACCTCTTCATTTTAGTTCATCATAATACTTTTCCACTTTAATGTTGCGTTATATCACAGCTGTAGTAGAATGTGCCCTGTTATTCCACAGTCAAAATTGTTGGTTATTTTTTCTTTCAAAATGAACTGTTGTTCCGCAGTAAATAGATACTGTTATCACACAGTCAGTATGTATATATACTCTTTCCCAAGTATGTTTACTCTTGTGCGAGTCCGTAAAGTTCCATTCCACAGTTAGTATATCCTTTTTGCACTGATAGTGTAAATTGTTATTTGAAAGTATGTATTATATTATTCCACTTCACTGTTATTGCAATGAGTTTATAGTGTTATCCCACATTCACAATATGCTGTTACTGCAGTCCTTCTGTTTTACTCTTCTGTTCCTCAACTTTAACGATACAACTATTCTTCCTATTACAATAAAACTGATATTACACCAACAGTATAAGGTGTTAATCCACAATCAGTATATACTGGTATTCCTCCAACAGTTAGTTTAAGGTGATATTCCGCAGTTAGTTTATACTGTTTTTCCTCCAACAGTCAGTATAAGATGTTATTCCACAATCAGTTTAAACTGTTATTCCTCCAACAGTAAGTATGAGGTGTTATTCCACAGTCATTTTATACTGTTATTTCTCAAACAGTCAGTGTATGGTATTCCTCCAAGTGTCAGTATATATTGTTATTCCTCCAGTTGTCAGTATATACTGTTATTCCTCCAACAGTCAGTATAAGGTGTTATTCCACAGTCAGTATATACTGTTATTCCTCCAACAGTCAGTGTAAGGTGTTATTCCACTGCATAGTGTGTCTGTTAATGCCAGCTGGGGTGATATATCCCATATTGCTCTTGTGGGTCTATCCTTCAGGAATAATGGGACGGACCAGTGTTCCAGTTACCATTTACGCTGACAAAGACTGGATGGAACTGAAATATAAAAATGACAAGCTCATTATTTTCAACTAATAGAACAGAAAGATGAAAGAAGAAATTAGACGGATGTCATGGCTAATTTTGTGGCATTTTTGATGCACGGTCTGTCGTTATTGATAAGCAGTTCCGATAACCAGACTCCCTACAGCAGACTGACCATGGGTGTGATGATGTGTAGACTTCCACCAGATGGGATCCCCAGACAGGGGTACAGCCATTAAACTAATAAATGAGCCATTTGGATGGGATCATAGGATCCCCTAGTATTGCTCGTAAGGATTTTAGAACCTCTGATTAATAAATGTCTGATTAGTCGTGACATTCTCTTATGTTTGGTCCTGGGGTCATCAGTCACTGGTTTGAAAGCCAGGGTGTTAGCGTAATGAAGTGTTAGATGTGTGACCTTGCCTTAATTTAATTTCTACATCCTAAGTAGGCTTAACACTTCAAGCGGCATGTGTGGTCAGTGAGCAGGTTATTTTGATTCTCTTCAATCCTTTCATTAATGTAATTTGCTTGTCTTTGGTCAATGAAAAACCATGTCCTGATGTTCCAAGTCTCCCACCTAACAGAAACTCAAGTTGTGTGACATTTGGAAGCTTTTCCTGTAAAGATATTCCATGGCAAGCCCAGCTGTCAGTGTGTGGCTTGTATGCTGAATAGCAGCTTGTCACTTTCATCAGTGTGATGGACCCGTGAAGATCCAGGGAAGAATAGGTCTTCAGCAAGCCATGCTTGCCACAAGAGGTGACTATGCTTGTCGTAAGAGGCGACTAATGGGATCCGGTGGCCAGGCTCACTAACTTGGTTGATGCATGTCATCGTATCCCAATTGTGTGGATCGATGCTCATGGTATCAATCACTGGATTGTCTGGTCCAGACTTGAGATTTACAGACCGCCGTCATTCAGCTGGAAAATTGCTGAGTGCTGTGTTAAACAAACAAACAAACAAACAAACAAACAAACATCAATGTGATGAAGACTGATTTTGTTATTTCTAGTGTTACAGCTGTTTTGTACTGACACAGGAAGACTCTGATAGTAGAGTCAGTGACGATGCCATCAGTGACATGAAGTATATTGATATAATAGGCTAACATACACTCCTTGAAATAAACTTACAACTTATTTCATTTATAAACTGAGGTGAAATATTAATAATTCCGTAAGGAACCCTTGAGTATCACGGAACACTCAAGCCTCTTAATTTCAGGCCTAGAGCTAGGGTTTTTTCCCCAACGCAAAGACATTACCGTGAGCACGCAACACCGGAAAAACCATGTCAACAAATCCATACTGAAGTACGCAAATTGATCATGTAATTACACTGTCTGGTTATACAAAGTGTTCATTGTATATCTGGACTTATGTTTCTAACATATTTCATTAATTTTATTTAAAATTCCTTTAAACATTGTTTTAATTAATTTCGGCGAAATCGTGTGTGAATCGATCGGAATATCGCACAACTCACCGTTATTAACAGCAGCCACGGTCAGATTACAGCTATTGACGCCTTGAAATGAACTTTAGTTGATAGAGAATGGATACATATATCATAAATGCCATACTTTGACTCATTGAAAGTCATATTTGTTGTAGTTTGATGATTCTGTGTCAACATATAGTTCCCATGATCACAGGCGCGGGAGCCTCGACAGTGACTGATCAAATTGTTTGAGCTGACAGAAGTAACCGTCAATCGCAATCACCTGCACTGAAGTGCTATGCTTAGGGTTATTATTATTTTAAATATATTTAATTAAAGCTGCAACTATGATAACATGATATTGGAATATATTATTCCTGATTAAAAAATAGTTTCAGATACAATTGTTCCCGATCCTTGCATTAAAATCCTTTAAAGATTTTCATTTCCTTTCATTTCGTTTACTGATGAAGGGGCAAGCAGTAGCCCTGAAACGCTTTTCACCAGATAAAAGGGGCAAGCAGTAGCCCTGAAACGCTTTTCACCAGATAAAGGGCAAGCAGTAGCCCTGAAACGCTTTTCACCAGATAAAGGGCAAGCAGTAGCCCTGAAACGCTTTTCACCAGATAAAAGGGGCAAGCAGTAGCCCTGAAACGCTTTTCACCAGATAAAGGGCAAGCAGTAGCCCTGAAACGCTTTTCACCAGATAAAGGGCAAGCAGTAGCCCTGAAAAGTCGTTCACCTGATGAAGGGGCAGGCAGTGGCCCTGCAATGTTTTTTCACCAGATAAAGGGCAAGCAGTAGCCCTGAAACATCGTTCACCTGATGAAGGGGCAAGCAGTAGCCCTGAAACATCGTTCACCTAATGAAGGGGCAGGCAGTAGCCCTGAAACATCATTCACCTAATGAAGGGGCAGGCAGTAGCCCTGAAACATCATTCACCTAATGAAGGGGCAGGCAGTAGCCCTGAAACGTTCACCTGATAAAGGGGCGGCAGAAGCACTGAAATGTTGTTACAAACAATAAAGAGGGTTTCATCTGTAAAAGTTTCAGATCTTCAATAAACCACCTGTAATGTCAGTAGAGTTTGTTTCAGCCTAACACCAATAAACTTTTAAATCTTTAAGGAAAATGAGAGGAGTTTTTTATTACGGGACGAACTAAAACCTATGGCTGTGTTTAAAAGGAAGACAATGCCCAATGACAAGTTTTGTCTGGAGTTGTTGTAGCTGTACACCCCAAAGAATGGATGGACGAAGCCTTAGTAAACCTTAGCCTTAACAAACCATCCAAGACCCATGTCTGGGAGAGGTGGTCCGAGTGGATGCTAAACGGAGTTCACAACACAAATAACCCAAAATACAATGATTTGAATCTAATTATTTGACTTGTTCATTTGCTGGTACATTTTCTCACGGGTTCATAATTCTATACACACCAATTCCCAAAATGGCGTCTCGTTGTTGATGGCAACATAAGGATCGTTTTGAGATTTTAAAAGGCAACAGAAACGGCTTCCCACATTAGGGGAGTGGATGACTGGTTTGTTAAGTGTTCATTCAATATGATTACAACGTTTTTCATCTTTTATTATTGAATATCTGCAAGTACCGGAACAGTCTTGCAGTCCGACTTCGCGGTGTGTCATTGCCTTTCACTTCCTGGTTCGGCTTATATACGGGTCATATCATAATCTTTCAAATTTCAATGGTCAAGTTAATACCTCGGCTTATCTACGGGGTCGGCTTATCTGCGGTCATGTACGGTAGGTGCTTTGAAAAAATATCAAAATGATAAGAACATAATCACAGTTATGTCTACCACTGAGTATATTTTAAGAGAATAAGAAAGCATGTCCAATATATATATACCCATTACCTATTTTATACAATGTTGCCAGGAAACCACACATTCTCTGTAGAAATTGTTAAAGGAAGTTAATGTTCTTGAAAACAATCCTATTGACCCAAACATCCACTGACAGCATTGATTTAACTGCAGGAGTTTGTCCTTGTGACAAGATTTTACAGCGATTACTTGTAACGAAGAATTAGACGATGCATCCCGTCTCTCCAACAGAGGCAGGGATTTAAGGGACAACTGTGTGCACAATTACACCTGCGACACAGCAGATTAGGGGTCGGCAGTGATCCTGACATCCATACGGCCTTACCGATGCCACAACTGTGAATTTACATAACTGTATATAAAGAAGGGAACATTTTAGTTTCTTTCCAATCTTGGCTAAATCTTTCCCAGACCGTACAGATTAACCTCTTAAAACTGTTTTTACCCACTTAAGAGTAGTATTAGCGTTCCCTGAAGAAGATTTGATGAGAAAGGTTAAATTACGTCAGTGCCATCTTAATGCAAGTAACGTATCCATCCAGGGGTTTATAATTGACAATGTTTCCTTGAGAGGATTGCCTCTGGCTTACTGGTCAGGCGGACTAGTGTGACAACTCTCACAATTTCAATATTGTTACCCTTCCAAGCCAGTTTTCCCTAGCCTTTCAGCAGGTTGGATGGGTTTTACAAGTTCCAAATCTCATTTCATTGCATGCGATTGATGCAATTTTTCCCATGTTGATTAATTGCATTTAATTAGACAAGATCTGTTTGTTTTAGTCATTGATCTTTTTTGTGTCAGTGTGTTGATGCAATTCAATAGGGTGTTGGACTTGTAGGGGAGACATGAAAGGTCAGTGTCAACATTGTTGCCTTATGCACACAGTGATACATGTGCAGCTCACCTGCATTAAAGGGGCACTACACTCAGGGGGTCTGATTGGCAGGCCTAGCATGGTTGATTTCGTTTGGTGTGGGATTTATATAAGTGACTAACATTTTTTTTCCATCAAACACTCACAATTGTTATTGGTGGGGTTAAAACATCAGGACAAGTTATTCTTTGGCAGTTTCTATGGAATCATTTGCTCTCTGGGCCCATGTTTTGAATGACACAACAATAAAGTAGATGTCCAATCAAATTATGTTGTTCTGTTATCATTGAAATAAGCTGCAATATCACCTGTACTCAACTCTGTTTGATTGCCATCTCAAATATGGCTGCAATGTCTTGTAGCAATATGACCTCCCTCCCCAACCTTAGTCCCAACGCAAGCATCTTTCTTTTCAAACAATCTTCTGATTCGATTCCATCTTGTAAACTCTCATGAATGATGGTATACTAGTAGTACTTCATGTCGGAGGCGAGGGCCTGCTGGCGGATCTGTGTTAGGAAAATATCCACTATTGAAACTGTCACTTTCCACCAATATGTCTTCAAACTTCAGAATCTAACATTTTGCTCTATATATGGTAATTTTTCTCCATGATAATAGCTGCCGTAGAACATGAAGATGGTAACGCTAATGGCTATTTTTCTATGCTAAGTGAATTTGTTGGTTTGAAGTATCACATTAACGAAGCGTCTGATTACTAGTTTAGCAAGCAGACATACTGCCCAAGGGAGGTAATCCTGTATGCAGCTAATTGTGAGACGATTGAGGAGAGTCGGTCACACCAGGGTGATGGATGTTCTCTGCGATGGATACCCTGGGACCAATGTACAGACTTCTACATAACTCCTCAAACAGTCAATGTCAATGAAACAAAGCCTAAAAACTCATACAGCCTACATACCCTGTGTGTAAGATAACAGCTTACATACAATGTGTGTAAGATAACTGCCTATATACAATGTGTGTAAGATAACTGCCTATATACCATGTGTGTTAGATAACTGTCTATATACCCTGTGTGTTAGATAACTGTCTATATACCCTGTGTGTTAGATAACTGTCTATATACCCTGTGTGTTAGATAACTGTCTATATACCCTGTGTTTTAGATAACTGTCTATATACCCTGTGTGTTAGATAACTGTCTATATACCCTGTGTTTTAGATAACTGTCTATATACCCTGTGTGTTAGATAACTGTCTATATACCCTGTGTGTTAGATAACTGTCTATATACCCTGTGTGTTAGATAACTGTCTATATACCCTGTGTATTAGATAACTGTCTATATACCCTGTGTTTTAGATAACTGTCTATATACCCTGTGTGTTAGATAACTGCCTATATACCCTGTGTTTTAGATAACAGCCTGTATAACCTGTGTGTTAGATAACAGCCTATATACCCTGTGTATTAGATAACTGTCTATATACCCTGTGTGTTAGTTAACTGCCTATATACCCTGTGTGTTAGTTAACAGCCTATATACCCTGTGTGTAAGTTAACAGCCTATGTAGTCTGTGTGTTAGTTAACTGCCTATGTAGCCTGTGTGTTTGTTAACAGCCTATATACCCTGTGTGTTAGTTAACAGCCTATGTAGCCTGTGTGTTTGTTAACAGCCTATGTAGCCTGTGTGTTTGTTAACAGCCTATATACCCTGTGTGTTAGTTAACAGCCTATGTAGTCTGTGTGTTAGTTAACAGCCTATGTACCCTGTGTGTTAGTTAACTGCCTATGTAGCCTGTGTGTTTGTTAACAGCCTATGTAGCCTGTGTGTTTGTTAACAGCCTATATACCCTGTGTGTTAGATAACTGTCTATATACCCTGTGTTTTAGATAACTGTCTATATACCCTGTGTGTGAGATAACTGTCTATATACCCTGTGTGTTAGATAACTGTCTATATACCCTGTGTGTTAGATAACTGCCTATATACCCTGTGTGTTAGTCAACTGCCTATATACCCTGTGTGTTAGTTAACAGCCTATATACCCTGTGTGTAAGTTAACAGCCTATGTAGCCTGTGTGTTAGTTAACAGCCTATGTAGCCTGTGTGTTTGTTAACAGCCTATGTACCCTGTGTGTAAGTTAACAGCCTATGTAGCCTGTGTGTTAGTTAACTGCCTATGTAGCCTGTGTGTTTGTTAACAGCCTATATACCCTGTGTGTTAGTTAACAGCCTATGTAGCCTGTGTGTTTGTTAACTGCCTATATACCCTGTGTGTTAGTTAACAGCCTATGTAGCCTGTGTGTTAGTCAACTGCCTGTATACCCTGTGTGTTAGTTAACTGCCTATATACCCTGTGTGTTAGTTAACAGCCTATGTACCCTGTGTGTAAGTTAACAGCCTATGTAGCCTGTGTGTTAGTTAACTGCCTATGTAGCCTGTGTGTTTGTTAACAGCCTATATACCCTGTGTGTTAGTTAACAGCCTATGTAGTCTGTGTGTTTGTTAACAGCCTATGTAGCCTGTGTGTTTGTTAACAGCCTATATACCCTGTGTGTTAGTTAACTGCCTATGTAGCCTGTGTGTTTGTTAACAGCCTATGTAGCCTGTGTGTTTGTTAACAGCCTATGTAGCCTGTGTGTTTGTTAACAGCCTATGTAGTCTGTGTGTTAGTTAACAGCCTATATACCCTGTGTGTTAGTTAACAGCCTATATACCCTGTGTGTTAGTTAACAGCCTATGTAGTCTGTGTGTTAGTTAACAGCCTATATACCCTGTGTGTTAGTTAACAGCCTATGTAGCCTGTGTGTTAGCTTATTGGTGCACTTGAAGCAGCCATAAAATTTCTAAGTCTTCTGATGGGATTCAAACCACAGACCTTCTGATCTGAGGTCGGACGCCTGGTCCACATGACCAAAGACATTAACCCATCAGCACTATAAAGTGGGCTGTGTATAGGCACGGTGTATGAACACAAAATGTTCATGATGCAGTTGTTTTCCCTCTGAGGGAAGAAAGAAAATCAATTTGATGTAGACTATTTTGAAAAGCCTGTTATGACATTTTATTGTTCGCTTTGGCAGGAGGTTGGAGGGCAGTCTTTTTGTTTACATTTATCTGTTTACAGTAAATCTATGATAAAAACATGTGATATGTATCACGATACACTTTGGCTCAAGATAACCTTTTCTATTTCAGTTTTCATTTTGTCTTAGAAAAGAATATATACTTACACAAACATGATAGAGGCTGACCAAATTATTTTAAGATGGATTGAAAAATAAGTGAAATGTCCATAATCTTGAATAATAAATTATTTGCATCCCTGAATTTTTTTTAGAAAACCTTACATTTTGGGTAGACAGATATAACATAATGCAAGGTTTTTGAAAATTCAAATATTACCATCTGTATCTATTACTAGGCGATCCAGCATTTAGAAATAATATGTTCTAACTTTGATTGTAAAAAAACTGTGGGTGTCTTGTTTGTGATTTGAAGGCAGGAAGTAATCACGGAGGAAGGCTAATTGTTATTTTGTTCAAAATTGGGAGTTTTGATTTTTTTAAAACATTGCATGCAAAGCAATAACTAAACATTGAGGCCTCTTCCTGCATATTTGTCTAACTTTCAGGGAAATAAAAGTTATATCTACATAGCCATAACATTAATACTAGAGTCATAACTCTGTTGTCCTTTCCAGAAAGCTATCGTAGCGCTGAGGTGATCGTAACTCCCATACTATAACGTAGACTTACGACTGTTGTGCTACAATCACCTTGTGGAACGGGCCCTGAAAGCATCAATTGGAACATTCTTAATTCCAATTTGGATTTATTTTTAGACATTTGCTGCTGACTTGGTGCCGGACATGGGCTTGAGGTAAGTCCCCGGACAGCGATGTACCAGCATATTCGTAGGGAGGTAAAATATCATTCACAGGTCAAAGTATAGACAAACATGTCATTTTTCGATCCAGGCAATTTGTTATGGTGATAAGTCATGTTCATTAGTACATAACATCTTTTTATTAAAAAATGTGCAAAAATATATTGTGCAAACAGAAAGATGTGATACAAAATTTTATTTATTACAATTTATACTCATATACATTTCATATTTTACTTTAGTTGTTTTACCATATTACAGCATCCAACCAGATGACTTGTTAACAACATTCAGGACAGCAACATAGAGCACTTACATTAATAATTAATGTCATTCCTTCCACGGAAGTATTTCTCTTTGTGAGCACTTTATTTATTTCAGTGTTTAATATTTACACTATTGTGTATTTGAATCCTTGTTTGCCCCAATAATGTTTATAGGTTTGTCAGCACCATACCTGTGCTCGTGGGTTTCACCGAAGTGGTACACATCGGAGGCCTGCATCACTTCGGGATTTCCTCCCACATTAAGCTGACACGCCGCCATATAACTGGAATACTGTTAAAAGTGGTGTTAAACGCAACTCACTCACTCACTCACTCACTCACTCACTCACTCACTCACTCACTCACTCACTCACTCACTCACCCACTCACCCACTCACTCACTCACTCACTCATCTACTCCATAGTTTGGTTATTTTTGGTTCATTTACAGAGTTGTCCAACCAATATTTTGTAAATGTTTAATAAAATTTTATACATTTTATATATTTGTATAGTCATTGATTATTCCCAATTAGTCTTCTTAACAAGCTTGTATAATAAAAACCTGAAGTACATTTTTTTCTGTTTTGTTACGGATGAGAAAATTCAAAGAAATATAAATTCTTAGTTTAACAGTTGCAGATTGAAGCTATGACAAACTAGGGTACTGAAAATACTTTTGTCCATATTTGGTTTAATATCCATCTTTTTTGAGAAATATAATCTCAACTTTACCTTGAAAACATTGAGAAAAAAGTACTTTTGTCTCCTGTGTCTTGGGATGTTGCAGGAAATCCATCAAACAAAATGAATTGGTCTGTCCAAGTTTGAAAAGGGCTTAATAAAGCGGTACCTCATATCTGCACCATATCCCCTCCTTCCTTCCGCTTGATGTTAATCCCCACCCCCCCTGAATCCAGCACTGGCATCATCCCCTCAGACCCATTCATGGCTGCTGCCGGTCTAATCAATATTAATGCACACGCCAGTTTATTTCAGTATTTGTGTTTATCACTTATTGAGAGATCTATGAAGGCGCTGTCTCATGAATTGCATACAGATTCTTAAACAGCTGATCCCACGGAATCTCCGAGAGCTGGTTTATTGAAAGTAGACCTGGGAATATGAAATCCTGGTGGCTGTCAGTCAGGGGGAATAATTGAACAGATTCTGCACCTATCAACCCTTGAGGTTAAGGATATAGTACAGATTGTGGGGAAATAAAACTTATATTTGCATGGAAGAAACAAATCAAAGGAAATGAGATTGAGAAGACTGATGGGGTGCACATCCCTGTTCTAGATAACAACGTGTGTGTAAAAAGGGACGTTGTGAATGGATCTGATGTCCCCCATCAATGCTGTTAACTTTGACGTGCATATAAATAGAGAATATAACCTGAGTGTCTTTTGATATCAATTATATTACCGTATTCGACGTAATAAGCGCCCAGGGCGCTCTCAAAATTAGAAATCGGGGGCTCTTATTGGAATAATATTTAAGTGGAAAAAACTGAGTTGAAAGATAAATTTCGTGGTTTATGCTGACAGCCTTAAATATTTATAAGACAGATATATTTTTCGAGAATTCAATTGCCCATGATTAAGGGTTCATTTAACACATGAGTGCGTATTATACGAGAATACTTAAGTCTTGTGTACATTGATCAATCGGAAGGGGTGCTAATTGGGATTTTTCAACGGCCAATATATCAGCAAATATCGCCGTGGGCGCTTATTAGAGCGGGGCGCTTATTAGGTCGAATACGGTAACAGGAGTTGATAAAAGTGGACAAACTCCAAGAGGGTAGCTCCAACTCCAAGGCTTGATATCAAAGGACATGAGGGTGAGATTTAATTTTGCATCCAACATCATTCTTCCAACTTTTCAGTTTATAGACAGTAATTAGCAGTGTCTCAAGTGTAAAAAGTACTGCTTACAGCTTCAGTAGCAGACACGTTGGTGATGTCATTTGATTGTGACGTCATGGTAACCAATGAAGTTCGAAGATAAATAAAAGAATCTGCACAAAATGTGATTTTCTGCACCAAGTAGGCATTTCTGCAAAATATTCCGCAACCACAGAATCGTGGACTACAGCGGGGACTGTTACATGTGGCATTATTTGATATGCCACTCATACTAAGTTCTGTGAGAAAAGAATTAATGTAGTGATGCTTACGTATAACGGTTATGTTATTTGAGGCCCTGTCAGAAGGAACATTATCCTGTAGGGCAGCCACACTTTGGATGACATCTTGCTGGGATCGTGTTTGTTGTCTGATCTTTCAGAAACAGTAATAGGTGACAAAATTTTATATGAAATTCGCTTTTTGAAGAGTTTATTAAAAAAAACGAATTTCATCTAAAATTTTGTCAAAAGTCTAATGTAAAAATTCTTATGATTGTTTTTTTTTTTAATTTACCATCTTCCATTTATATTTAGATCCTAAAACAAATTCAAAAACAAATCCGAGATCTGTAATTGATTATAAGAAAGTGTAAATTAATTCAAACAGTTGTCTTCAGGGAACTAGTACTTTATTATCCACTAACATCCCAATGTTATCCAGCCATGGAGTGTGATCAACCCCTATGAGAGGTATTTAACTGAGATAACATCTCTGACAAGACAAGGAGTGACCACAGACACTTCACAGTGTACAACAGTGTGTCTAGTCCACCAATCACTGACTGGTCCTTCCATACATCATTGTCACTTTCATTGCTGATATAAAGTCATATCAACCTAGCATTCTCCAAGGCCACGACTAGAAGTCCAATGATTACATTGCCCCAAGAGCTCCTTTATTATTGTCAGACCTTATGGCTAGCCACAGACAACCCTTTTCTTCCCTACAGCCCCACCCACAGATCCAGCCCATCACCCTCAGTTCTCAATACCTCCCTACCAACAGCCCCTCCCACAGAGCCCGTCATCCTCAGTTCTTAATACCTCCCTACCCACAGACAACCCCTCCTTCCCCACAGCCTCACCCACAGAGCCTGTCACCCTCTGTCCTCAATACCTCCCTACCCACAGACAAGCCCTCCTTCCCCACAGCCCCTCCCACAGAGCCCGTCACCCTCTGTCCTCAATACCTCCCCACCCAAAGACAACCCCTCCTTCCCCACAGCCCCTCCCACAGAGCCTGTCACCCTCTGACCTCAATATCTCCCTACCAACAGACAACCCCTCCTTCCCAACAGCCCCTCCCACAGAGCCCGTCACCCTCAGTTCTCAATACCTCCCTACCCACAGACAATCCCTCCTTCCAACAGCCCCTCCCACAGAGCCCTTCACCCTCTGTCCTCAATACCTCCCTACCAACAGACAACCCCTCCTTCCCCACAGCCCCTCCCACAGAGCCCGTCACCCTCAGTTCTCAATACCTCCCCACCCACAGACAACCCCTCCTTCCCAAAAGCCCGTCCCACAGAGCCTGTCACCCTCAGTTCTCAATATCTCCCCACCCACAGACAACCCCTCCTTCCCCACAGCCCCTCCCACAGAGCCTGTCACCCTTTGTCCTCAATAACTCCCTACCAACAGCCCCTCCCACAGAGCCCGTCACCCTCAGTTCTCAATACCTCCCTACCCACAGACAACCCCTCCTTCCAACAGCCCCTCCCACAGAGCCCTTCACCCTCTGTCCTCAATACCTCCCTACCCACAGACAACCCCTCCTTCCCCACAGCCCCTCCCACAGAGCCCATCACCCTCAGTTCTCAATACCTCCCCACCCACAGCCAACCCTCTCCTTCCCCACAGCCCCACCCACAGAGCCCGTCACCCTCAGTTCTCAATACCTCCCCACCCACAGCCAACCCTCTCCTTACCCACAGCCCCACCCACAGAGCCTGTCACCCTCTGTCCTCAATACCTCCCTACCAACAGCCCCTCCCACAGAGCCCTTCACCCTCAGTTCTCAATACCTCCCCACCCACAGACAACCCCTCCTTCCCAATAGCCCCTCCCACAGAGCCTGTCACCCTTAGTTCTCAATACCTCCCTACCCACAGACAACCCCTTCTTCCCAATAGCCCCTCCCACAGAGCCCGTCACCCTCAGTTCACAATACCTCCCCACCCACAGACAACCCCTCCTTCCCACAGCCCCACCCACAGAGCCCGTCACCCTCAGTTCTCAATACCTCCCTACCAACAGCCCCTCCCACAGAGCCCTTCACCCTCAGTTCTCAATACCTCCCTACCCACAGACAACCCCTCCTTCCCACAGCCCCACCCACAGAGCCTGCCACCCTCAGTCCTCAATACCTCCCCACCCACAGACAACCCCCTCCATCCACAAGGAGCACTCATGGTCATGAACCATTATATGTGTGAATAGTTATGACTTGGTTAAAAAGATTTGCCTTGTGTGGAAATCAGTAGACTAACACTTTAGTCTTTGGAACATTTCTTCAAAATAATTTTTTTTTTTTTTTCAAAAGAACCTTTACTCTCCTTTCCTCTTCTTTCCTGTTTTCATACCTTTCCTCTAGGGCTGGGACGGGTCCAAATTTACTACCCGGGTACCCACCACCCTATTACCCGAACCCTACCCGGGTACCCGCTGTAGGTATTCTGAATGGTTTGAAACTGGGGTTGTGCATGACATCTGAATGGTTTGAAACTAGGGTTGTACATGACGTCTGAATGGTTTGAAACTAGGGTTGTACATGACGTCTGAATGGTTTGAAACTAGGGTTGTGCATGACATCTGAA